TCTGCAGCTTGCCAGGTCAGCTCTGTTTAATATAAACGGAAGCCCTTCAAGGTGTCAGTGGCATATTTTGCAGATGCCATGAGTGTTCATTTAAGGCAGGTTGTCTCATTAAAAGCAAAAGCAGAAAGGAGAAAAAAAAATTAAACCCTGGTAGTAAATTGAAAACAATGAGACATATTATTGAGGAAAATGGTAACTGCAAAAAGGGAATTTTCTTTAGGCTTGGTTAGTGATGCAAGAAAAGACTTTCATTTCCAGTTTCTTGCAGTTCTCTGTCTTTACATTTATCAGCTGACACTGAAAGGTGTAAAAATCACCATCAAAGATAGTCTACACCACAGAGCAAACATACCACTCTCTAGGCAGTTTCTTTCTCTGTTCCTGTTTCATGTCTTCTGCTAATGTGTCACATGAAATGGTGTATTTTCTGCCTGTGATTTGTCCTACTGGGTTTTATTTCTTTTCTTTGCTGTTTTATTGAATTGTATTATATTTTCTAGGAAAATCCATGATTTTCCCTTTCAGCAGTATTATAGAAAGTGACACAATTAGATGCTCAGAGGGCTGGAGCACCTGTGCTATGAAGACAGGCTGAGAGAGTTGGGCTTGTTTAGCCTGGAGAAGACTTGATGGAGACCTTAGGGCAGCTTCCAGTACCTAACGGAGATCTACAAGAAAGCTGGAGAGGGAATTTTTGAAAGTGTATGTAGGGATAGGAGAAGGGGGAATGGCTTTGAACTGAAAGAGGGGAGATTTAGGTTACATATTAGGAAGAAGCTCTTTACTGTGAGGGTGGTGAGACCCTAGAACAGGTTGTCCAGAGAAGCTGTGGTTGCCCTATCCCTGGCAGCATTCAAGGCCAGGTTGGATGAGGCTTTGAGCAACTTGGTCTAGTGGAAGGTGTCTCTGCCTGTGGTAGGGGATGTGGAACTAGATGATCTTTAAGGTCCTTTCCAACACAAACCATTCTATGATTGTATGATTTAGGAAACATTAATATACATTTCCTCAACTTGTTCACAGTGGTAGAGGAACTGATATGTCTTCAGTCCAGGCATAACTACTTGTATTCATATGGGCATTCACCAGTTCAGTGTGACTGTACTGGGGTGGGGTTTCAAAGCATGTCTTTCCTCATTTCAGTAGGTCGTGCTCCTATTTGCTAAATGAGGAAGCTAAATGAGCTGGCATGAGCCTCAGTGCTTAAAAAGCCTGTGAAGGCTTGTTGGAAGCATCTGTACAAAAATCCACTTGGAAAATGTAATGGGGAGACTTAAATGCTGTTTTCTCTGTAAAGGAAGCATATTTTCTAATAATCCTTATTGTCCTTTCATTTTCTTGTAAGAGCGTATTATAGTCTACTTTTGTAAAAGTGTATTATACTGTATTTTCTTTTAATATTTTCTTCTATTCCAGGGATCCTGAAAAGAAGAGAGTATTCACTCCTAGTGCTTTAGCATATGTCTAAGTGCTAGCAAATACTTGATTCTCTGAAAAGTGGAAAATATAACTTGTTGATTTTGGGGTTGGGGTCAGGAAGGGGTCAGGCATAACTCAAGTTCTGATTAAAAAAAGATACCCTAGCTAATGCTGCAAGCTACTGCATTAACACCTCTCAGTTCTATAGGCCTCCCTATGTATTTTTGTCTGACTTGTAAATGAGTTCCTTGGGGTAGGAAAGCTGTGTCCATCCATCTGTTTGTACAAGCATTCTTGTTAGTATTTTAACACTCAGCCATCCAAATGATGCCTGATCCCTATTCTGTCCCCCTCTGGAGTGTAGCTGAGCGGGCTTGGGTGGGAACACTTGCTGTTCTCAAGGTGGTGCAGCAGCTGCACTTTGTACACTGCCTCCCAGAACTCCTGCTAAGTAGTAGTTACTCTGAACCCAGTGCAGACTTAATGTTTAGGGCACAGCTGTCACTATCGTACTATATATTCACCCAGTATACAGATCTGCTCACAACAAAGCGTAGTAAGAATTCTCCATAGCGCATTGAAAGCAACATGTGGTACTTCCAGAGTGCCCACTTGCTTTAAGCTGGGAATATTGGAAGTCAGATGTCTGCCTCATAAGAAATCTGTGAGGGCTGAAAATTCACGTATCTGAAGCAGCAAGTGTTCCTCTGCTTTTCTGAGGGAAAAATACATGGCTTCTCAAGGCGAAGTCTGTGCTTGGGCTTGAGGTGCTAAAGCAATGCTGTTAAAACTAGGTGTCAGTGGTATCCTGGCTTGGATTTTGGAAATTAGTTGGCAGAAATAGCTATACCCTGACTCTCTGGGGAAGATATCACTGTAGCCTCGAATAAAGGTGTTTGCAGCACCTAGCATCTGAAAGCTAATGTTGTAATCCAGAGCAAGTGAGTTACAAAGGTTTTCTGAAATAGTTCTGTCTAGATCTTGCCCAGAGAAGTTCTAAGAAAAATACATTGGTGGTCAAATTGGAAAATGCATATTTGGTCTAGATAGTACTGTATTTCTTTACTTTCATTACTGCTGTTAATAGAAGAGAGGCTGAGATGGGGGCAAACTAGAATTTACTGTGTAGACAGATCTGGATTTGCAGTCTGTTTCCAAGAGTTAATTATCATTCACCCTTCATTTATAAAAGTATTTTTCAAAAGCTTTTTAAATAGAAAATAATCCTGAAAGATTTCTCAAAGACACAGTGAGATCTTCTCTGCTTGTGATTATATTTAGTAAATTTTCAGTGGATCAAAGATGAGTTTTCAAAGGAAAATACCAACAGATAAACACTTTACATTCCATTCCTTTCTGCTGGATCTTTAAAAATGGGAACAAGATAGTCTTGAATGTGCCTTGGCACTTCATATCTGGCTGTTCTGTATCCATCTGTACACTGGTATTTTGTCCCCAACAATTACTGACTGTTCTTAATGTCTGCTGCAAACACACACTGTGGGTTCACTTGAAAATCTCAGAGAAGTCTGTTAGCTTCTAACTAAAATAGGTGTAATTTTGTACTTTGATTTGAATGTTTTAAACAGATTACACATCCAGGCTCTTTCAGTAACTGTATAGGTAGGTTTGCAAATAATCCATATTCTTCATAGGCTTCTGAATTCTGTGTACTTCACACCATGCAGGTCAATGAAATTACATAGCATAGAAGCTAATGTTTGTATAATAGGCTGGGAAAACGATGCTTGTAATACGAGTCTCTCGTTTCTACTAATCTCTTTCTATGAGCGTGCATTAGACAGCAGAATAAAACTGCATAATTGAAACTACCAGGAAGCATTTTCCCCACTGCTCAGTTTCTTAACACCAGAAAAATACATCAGGGAATGGCGCTGCCATCATCAGTCAACTCTACTTTGCATTAGAACATTGTATCTGTGGCTGTCCTTCACTTGGAAAGCATCGAGTTCTGATTGGTTTTATCTGTAATGAAAAGGAATAGAAAGCTGTCTCTTCCAGTCAGATCAGTTCTGGGATGTTTTTTACAGTGCCTAATTCCAAAGTAATCTCTATTTTTATGTAGAGTGTCCAAGTATTCAGGGTGCTGTGTTCTAGTATCCCGATACTAGAGCCTGTGTTCTAGTAAGATGACAACTGCTATTGTCAGATTACACTGTCAATTAGACTGCCAACATCAATACTGAGCACCTTTAGTGGGTTGTTAAGAAAGGATTTTTTTTCTGTTTTTTTCTTCTTTATCTTTGTCAGGGGAAGAGAATAAAGAAGCAGTCTAGGGAATTGTTTTGGAACGACTTTTTTAAGTGTTTGGAGTTCATATTGGGGAAAGGTAGGTTAAGGAATTTCACTTAACGTTTGATGATGAAAAGTGTGTGGATTTGTGTTGGGTTTTGGTTTCCTTAGGAATTTAACTTCCCATTTGTCTGGCTGAATTCACAGGAGAATTTTGGCTCATAATCAGACACATCTTTATTTTATGTTCAATGTGGTGAAGGAACAGACTTTTTGACTGTAGCCTTTGCTGTAGTATTTTAGATTATCCTAGGGTTTTCTTAGAAGTGAGGAATATAGGGGAGTGTCTAAAAATAAGAGCAAAGACCGATAGCTTATGGCCATACCCTTTAAGTACTGAGTGCTGAAAACAGAGGACAACTCTAATGTGCTCACTAAAATCTGATGGTATGTGAAAGCTTTTCTGTTTTAGTTGGAGTTCCCTAATGGAGTCAAGTTTCATTAAGTAGCTATACCGTATCAGTGTCATCCTGGTGCAAGCAGAGATGACTGTGTAAAACTGAGGTCAGGACACTGTCCATTCAGAGAGCATGCAGTTCACAAGACATCTGGAGGTAACAAAATGTGATGCCATAGTGAATGACCAGACCTTTTGAGCTGTTGTCTCAGTAGTTGGGTTTGTAGTTGAAGCATTGCGGCTTATTTCTAAAAGTGCTGGTCTGCCTTTGGAGAGTCAGGTCCAACAGGTTGATGAGGTCATCTCGGGTATATAGTAATCTGTCTTGGTAATGGAGCTGTAGTTGTATGTGGGTAAGGGTAAGCAGAATGGTTTTCTGTCAAGCTTGCTATGAAAGATGCAAAGCATGTCCAAGGCCCCTCACACACATTCATTTTCTGTCTGCTCAATATAATGAATCAGTTTGGGAAAAACAGGGTTTAGGAGGAAAAATACAATAAAATCATGCAGCAGTTCATTCGTTTTCTGCTTCTGAGTAATGTATCTATATAGTAATCCAATATAAATAGTAATTGTTATTTCCTTGAGGAGGAGATAGTATGTGGTAAGGGAACCACTGCATTGGGCTTAACCTTTCAAAATGGAAGTAATAGCAAGTAGATGTTGTCCTGAAATGTGAGTTAACTTTGAGTGTAATTTCTGTAAATTTTGTTGTTCCACCCGTACAATAACAGATACAGCTAATGTTGTATCTATTACTGTATTTATTTCTTCATCTATTCCTTATTAAAAATCTGGTTGAGTTCTCTGTGAGAGCTTTACGTACAGAATGACTTATCCTGATACGACTTTTTTTCCTTTTCCCACGCAGATCACCCCTGGCAGTAAGGCAGCACAGTCACAGATGAACCAAGGCGACCTTGTGGTAGCCATTGATGGAGTCAACACTGACAGCATGACCCACTTAGAGGCCCAGAACAAGATCAAGTCAGCCAGCCACAACCTGAGCCTCACTCTTCAGAAGTATGTTGATATAAGTTAAAGTCCTTGTATTAACTAAGGGCTTCCTATGAAACTTGTGACTAAGTGATATGTTTTTTCTGTCTGTTAGATTTACTTGATGTGTTCAATGCACAGATATGAGACAGAATGCCGAAATCTGCTTTAATTCTTGTCGAAAGCAGCATAGATTCTTACAGAAATCATTATGGTTGATATGTTGAGTGTATCTGTGTTGAATTTAGCCTACCTTATTCAGGTGTAATCCTGTATCCTTTCAAGCTTCTTAAAATCTGTTAAAGCAGAATACATAACAGGTGTCTCAGCTCTTCCTGGTTAATGTTACTTCCAAGGAAACCTACTCTCAAATCAGATAACCTTGCACAGAGATTTTGTGTTATAGTTGCATTAATATTTAAAGATCCATGATGTTATAAAGCAAAGTAATTGCTATTTTTATTGCATTCTGGAGAAGGTAATTTTTCCAGAGGCTAGGCAAAGACTGGTACAGAAAGCAGGTTGTAATGTGGAAGTATAATTTCTGAGAATATACCAGAAAATCTCATACATGGATGTGCAATAGAGCTAAAACAGTATCGAGAACAGGCTAACACCTAAGGGAAAAAGACCTTTACCTGAGGTTTCCAAGACAGAGCGGGGTACTTTAAAGCAAAATGTATGGCTGAATTTTCCACATGACTTTGTAACTCCCATGTTTGCCTGTAAGTGGGCATTCCAGATAATGTGTAAAACAAGTACACAAAGTAGAAAGATGCTAACAAAATTGCAACACATTTGTTAGCTTCTGTGAGAACACTGGGTACACTTAGGTATTTCCTAGAAAAGAGTTTAAATTAAAACTTTCCAGATGTTCCAGATTCTCTCAAAGAAAAATCTTTGAGATTTTTCTCAAAGGGCATGCTGTAGCTGTTTCAGCGAATGCAAGTGAGGCAGGGAGACGTATGGAGTAACTTCTGCTGCCTCATAGGATGTGCATGTGTGCCTCTAGTGTGCTTAGGCAAGGTTTTCAGCCAGAAAGTTTTCAGCCAGAGTGAGAGAGACCAGGAGCCTAATCCTAAATGTACTGAAATGGGCGTTATATTAGACACCAGAAGAAAATGATATTTCCAAATTGTTGAGGGCAGATGGGGTGCCATTTTGATGTGTGTAATTGAACTCCTATAGCCCAGTCCAGCTTCTTTTTCTCGGTTCTAATGAATGCTAGTGATATTATGAGTATATGTATGATAACTTTTTAAAAATATTTACATTGTTCTGGATTATTTTGGATTTGAAAGTTAAGGAAAATAATTTCTGATAATTTATTTTAGAACTTCTATCTGCTTTTCTGTTGAATCCCTGTGTTTTTTCATGGAAAGAAAATGTTTCCTTTTGTGCTTAGGCTTGTTGCATATTTGAGGTTAGGTTTCCTGAATATTGGACCTGAAAAAGGTCCAGTGGCTGTCTCTGTGGCTTGGCATTTAAAACTACAGATAATCACCTCTCCTTCCACACAGAGGATGGATTCCCAAATCTTTGACTAACAAAACCAGATTATCCTTATGCATATCACAGATGCAAGTCGCTAAAACCATAATTTTGATCAAGTGCTGGCAGGGACATCTCATGTGAGTAATTGTTGTACTTTTGTACTTGCTGACATCTAAATTGCAAGAAATCTAGTTGCCACATCATAAAAAAAAAAGGTGATTTACAGCATCCAGGACAACTTATTTATTGTTGAATGATTAAAGTAATTGTTAGTTTTCTTAAAATATTTTCAGAATGCTGAAGACTTATTTATTGTGGTATACATTACTCTTTGTCCACTTAATTCTAGTGGAAGTGTCATTACTTACTGCTTTCTTGCTCATCTATTGTTTTGTTTCTTTTTTTTAAGGCTTGCCTTGTCCCGCAGCTCCAAAACAGTAGTATGTGATTCAGATAATCAAGTTATGTCAATAATGGACAGCTGAAGTAAGCTGTAATGGGGCGTTCCACAGACTGAAATATGCTTGCATAGATAATAGATGTAGATGAATTAAGATCCATTTTGAAAAGAAGAAAAATGGCATAAAGTGATTGGAAATACTATTAGGCATTAATAGGTCAGACAACTTCTTTGTTAGCAAATGAGAACTTTCACAAATAATGTTTGTGCTCTAAGTGCATACAATTCATAGAATCTCCTCTTCAGTATGACAGTTGCTTTTTCATGTGAGTTATTAGTTTGCATTGGTGAGTCGTTCAGCCTTGCTGGAGCTGTATGGGAAACACTAAGATTAAAAAGTAATTATTTTTAATAGAGTGTTTTTTCTTAGATAATTAGGGGCTATTCAGAAAGTTGTGCTCAGAAGCATTAAGCTGGCTTTCACTTTGCACAAGTCAGTGTTTGCACAAGCTAAACCCTGTCAGCATGTGATCTCGGCCAGCTGACATATGCATGTCAGTTACGCAGTTCCAGCATCCCAGTGTCTTGAACAAAAAGCATCACCACAATATTTGGGAAGTTAGCTTAATCTCACCTTGAAAAGTTATTTTCCTAAGCACAAATGGATTAATTTACTTAAGTACAAAAAGCTTGTGGCAGTTTAGTCACCTGCACAAAATTTACAATGAATTTTTTTTCTCAACAAAAATAATTTTATGAAAATTTTATTGGTGAGAGGAAAAATAGTTAACATGAAAAATATGGGAGCAGTCACTAATGATAGCAATTTTCAACCAAGTAAAAACAAAACAGGAGAAAGGCAGAATCTCCTGCACTTGGTTACCAGGAAAATGACTGTGCTAAGAGATCATTTTAACTTTTTTAGACATGGCTTGCAGCAATGAAACTGGAGTGGAGTGTTCCACTACTATGGAAAAAACGAATCTAGTTTCTGTAAAGATGGTAGAGATGGGTACAGCCAGTTGTCTTATTCCCATAAAAGTCTGGAAACATTGGAAATCCTTTCAAATGAAAAGGCATATATGTGCATTAGGAAATTCACTGTTGTGATGGGAAAACTTAAGCCCTAAATTTTGGTGATCTTGGACATTTACATGAAGTAGTCACGTGGCTCTACACAATATGTTTCAAAGTCATGGAATGCTTTACCAGGCAATCTGTGACTTGGTTTCCCTGTTGCAGCACTGGAAGTATAAATGAACTTGCTTGTTTAGTCTAGGAGGCCATGGAAGGAGCAGTGGAATGTGAAATCTAGACATAAATGCTGTGAGACAGAAAGCTTTTTATTTTTCTAATGGCTCTTGGCTCTCAAGAGCAATGGCCTTTCCTTTTATTGATCCTGGCCATGAAGGTTTCATGGGTATTGTTTATAACCTGACAGCTTGGACAGTATTTGCTGCTACTCACTTTTATTATCACACTCAATTTTCCTGTGGGGTTCTTTTTTCAGGGTGGGGAACTGGTTTTTATATGGCTGTCAAGAAAAACTGTACACCGTGTCAGCACTTGTGCAGGACATCAAATTGCAAGACATCAGATGTAGGAGAAGGGAAACATTAAGAATGCCCATTTGTACTTGCCTCCCTACACAGTGAGTGTCTGCACTCTGTGTACCAGCTTAGTTTTAATTCAAGTACCATCAGTTTGCACTGTTCAAGGTGCACTAACACAGCTCTTCAGTGAGTACTTAGTGCACAGTGCTGGCCTGAGTTTTATTATCCATGTAAAAATCTCATAATGGGTTCAGGAATTGTGGATGTCAAGTTGATTTTGGTTTTTTTTCTGACAGCTTCCTTCCCTAAACTCCCTGTTAAATTTGTTTTTATCACTTCACCCATGCTATGTTTTCATGTGAAACCAGAAAATTAGGATGGAAGTCTCACCAGCTGTGCCAGAGGTTTGATCAGGCAGACAGAACTTGTCTTTTTACTAGTTTGCATGAAACACTGCATTTTAGGACTGCTCATTTTCAGTGTCTGGCTACCTAGTACCCCAGAGCTTGAAGCGTGCTTCCCCGTGCTGCTTTGGGGAAGTTAAAGGATGCAGACAGGCAAGTGGCAGGGATTTGAATTATTTGGACCATTCTTGGAGAAAGAAACATGTGATCCAGAGATGTGGGAAGTATGGACCCTCCAGATCACCTCTGCTTCCTTCAGTGTAGAAGACAAAAGAGATCTAGGAAGTGAGTTCTCTTTGTTGAAGAAAAGAGAGCAGCAGTGAAGGGAGAAGGAAAAGAAATTTCTTTGCAATGTGCACTGTTACCCAGTAGAACTCCATGAGGCATAATATTATTGAGGCAAAAAAGGCTGATACTCTAAACCATTAGATACTTAAATAGATGCAGCTCTTTCCTTAGAAACCTACATTAATGTAGATGTACTGATGGGGATTGGTGCAAGTTCTGCAAGACCATGCTATGGAAGGCTGTGATCATACTCTAATGACCTGGGTTGTGGTGGAAAAAGACATTGGTGTGCTTTTAGTCTTTTGTGACTTCCTGGAATTTAGTTCTCAATCATTTTTCAGTATCAGTTTCTAATCAGTTACTTGAGCTACACAGCTGCCCCCGGCATTTTAGTTCTAGGCCAGTCAAAGTTCATCTTCAACTGGCTGGCTGTCCCACACATACTTGTCCATGAACTTATTATCCTGCACTTCATAGGTGAAAAATGAAATGCATGCAAAATCTGTTATCATTCCGTACAAATGGGTTTCTATTTAAAATTCACAGTAAATGCAATGCACTAGAGTGCAATATTATTTGTCAACAGGTTTCAGTGGAGTATCCGTAACACTCATTTGATCTTAACTTAAGGAATCTGATCAGCCTCCTTGGAAAGGATTCACCAAATGTACTGGCTTGGTTTTGGAAAGTGCTGTAACATGAGCGTGCCTCATTCTGCTGGCACAAGCATTCCTGGAACACTCTAAGGCTCCTGCCTTGGCGTCTCCCTGTGCTGCTAGAGAGGAGCAGGGGCTGTGCAGCCCTTCTGTGCTTGGTGTGTGTGTTGACACAGCCTTTCCCTCCCAGGGCATGCCGGTGGTGCTACCATTCACTTCCAGATAGGCACAA